CTATCTTATCACCAAAAAATATAGAATTGTCCCATTTTTTATAAAGGTATGCTTGATAAAAGTAACCCCACCCCCTCTCACACAAAAAATAGTTTTTCTAGTTATCTTTTCAAAAATCTAAATTTTCTAACTGATTTAAGGCGTTTTAGGCGTAATTTTATATGACTTTTCATGCAAAGATGGCAATGCCTGATTCACAACGTTATCCTAGAAATCTTGATTAATAATGTGAAAAGTTCCATAGTTTTTCTAAGTTTAAACGTTGATAGTTAGTTGATAGCAGTTGAGGAGTCAACACCTCTCTCTAGAGGAAAGCATGCAAGATGCTGTTAATTATAAGAGGACTAGGGCCAAATCCCTTATAGAACTTGTATGTTCGAGAGGAAACCTTTCGGGTTCCCGTTTGATAAATGTGGATGTCAAGTCTACTAGAAATATCGAGAATGGGTTTACACCCTTTGATTATTGTGGATGTTAAGTCTGCTAGAAATATCGGGAATGGGTTTACACCATTTAATTATTGTGAATTTTAAAAGTCTACTAGAAACATCGAGAATGGGTTTATACCCTTTGATTATTGTGGATGTTAAAAGTCTACTAGAAACAAAAATTGGATTAGACCCTTTGATGAGTGCGAAATGTGGATGTCAAGTCTACCTGCAACATCGATAATGGGTTTACACCCTTTGATTAGTCTGGATGTCAAGTCTATTAGAAACATCAAGAATATGCTGAAAAAGTCTGTATGCAGTTAGAATATGTTTTAATTACGAGCTGACCTGTTCTAAATATTGCTTACATTTTTATTGTTACCAAAATTTGATACTTTTCCTGAATCAACTTTTTAAGTGCAAGGAATTTATTCCTGAAAGAAAAATATTATCAAAAGTCTGACTATAGATTTCTTTAAAATAGCAGGTTTATGAAATTGGAGATTATGAGAGTGAATAATGAATACATCTAATATCATTCATAACAAAACAAATTTAAACTAAACCATTAATATATGTAATATGTAATATATGTATGTATATTAAATGTGTGTGAGTAAATCTTTTATAAAAATAAAAAATCTAAACATTGACATCTTACTTCATCAGACAAAGGTTTAAAGGGTACCATTGTGAATCGTGAATCTGGCATTGCCATCTTTGCACGGAGGGTCACTAATAATACGCTTCCTTACTGAATGTAAATAATATTGTAGAAAAATATAAATTTAAAAATGAAGTATTTTCTCCAGGATGTTAGGTTGTCCGTTATTCAGATATTAGGAACTATCAACAAAAGGAACAAAATAATGGTTTTTTTTTCAAATTATTTATTTTAACTGTATTTTTCAAAAAATGTAATTTTCACAGTAATCTCTTCAAAATGGAAGGAAATTTATTTTGTTCTAAATTTTTTAGTTTGTATCCCGAAAAGTGTCTAAAATTCAACCAATCAGAATGGCGTATGCAAAATCCCGAACAGCCAATCAGAAACCGGGAAATTAAAAATTTTGCGCGCTATTAAACGAGAGAATTTTCATTGGTCGGAATCCGGTAGGGATATCCAAAAAGCGTGTTTCCACCGTGGATATTCAGATAAAGTGATCGGTATAAAGATTATCCAAATCTAAAATTTTCAGCTCGTAATTATAAAAAGAACAAACATTATTGTTTGGATCAGATTTAACTATACCCTATCCTGTTCCCTGAAGTTTGTTCAGCAGCTCAAACATTTTGAACACCTAGTGTCCATCTTCAGGTGAAATGTATTTTTTTATTATTTAAGAACGGGCAGTGATACCCAGTACAAAGGATTAGATTTTAATGCAGTGCTTTGTATCTATTTCTTTTAAAGAAAAAACTGGACTTGCTAATATTTTAAACAAATAAAAAATTTGCATATTTCGTTTTTCGGTATTTTATTTTGTCTAGACCAGGAAGTTATAAAAAATTCTCATTAGATAAAAGTTGAGTGTTGTGTATTTGAAAGAAAAAAGTTTTTATCAGGTTTTAATTAATATTTTCCTCTTAGATATTTTCCTCCGGATCCGATCCAGGAAGCTAATATGTTGCGGAGCCTAAGCACTGCTTTAATGACGACCTGAAACTCCGTTAATATAACAATGTGAAATACCAAAAATATAGTCTTTCAAAAAAGAATCAAGTTTATAGTTTATTGTTACTTGTTAGATACAAGACAGAATACATTTTGTACAGTCTCTCTGCAGACTCATCCGTTCTGGGTAACCCTGACATTTTTACTTACCTTTAGGCTCTTTAATGTACAATTTAGGTTTCTGAAGATTAAAGATCCATTTTAAAATACTAAATTTTAAGTTCGTTGTTTGGCCATTAATCAAACAATTTACATCTAGTTTGGATCTGGTATCTTTCTATCTAGAGTTATCTATCTATCTATCTCGAGTTATCTATCTATCTATCTAGTCAAGCTACCGAGGTCTTGGTGCGTGAGTACGGGTTGACGGGTATGGTGCTGGAGCTGGTGAGGGAGATCTCTAGGGTGGACTCCAAGGAGCTCTCCAGGGATACTTCAGGAACCAGGTTAGTTGATTGATTGATTGATTGCAAAGTTACTGACAATCTAAAATCAATGAGAACAGAACCTAGGAGATCTTGACAATTTCAAATCAGTGAGATTAGAACTAAAGGAGGGGGGGGCTTGTGAAGTTTCATGACGTTCAGGAACTTGTTTTTAAATTTAAAATACGCCAAAGATTGTAAATAAGATAGTACAAGTTCATGGAGGACCGGGTCTGTGTAACTACTATGTAGTAAGAAGCCTTGATTAGTTTGAAAAAATTGATTGATTGATTGATTGATTATTAAAAGTGAGAAACTGATTGATTGATTGAAATGAGAACTTCATTGATTGATGTTTAGAGCTTACTCCCAGTTCTTGGCTGAACTAGCAGAGCGTATTCCCGAATATATCCGACCCTGTGTTTCCCTGCTCACTGCCCATCTTGACGGAGACTCATATTCTATGCGTAAATGCGTACTGGCGGTTCTAGGGGAAATTGTTATGAAGGTAATTGCGTACTTGTGATACTGAAGACTCATATTCTATGCAGAAATGCGTACTGGCGGTTCTAGGGGAAATTGTTATGAAGGTAATTGCGTACTTGTGATACTGAAGACTCATATTAATATTATATACGTAAATGCGTACTGGCGGTTCTAGGGGAAATTGTTATGAAGGTAATTGCGTACTTGTGATACTGAAGACTCATATTCTATACGGTAATGCGTACTGGCGGTTCTAGGGGAAATTGTAATGAAGGAAAATTATATTTCTGTTCTGATTTTAAAAATTAAAACTCGTTTTTTTGTAACCATTTTAGTTTTTCAAATTAGTAATTAAAGATTGATTTTGATTTATTTCTGTGAAGTTTTCCATTGTTTCTTATAAGCAAGAAATAGTTTGAATAAACAAAAACATGCTTACTAATTCATACTTGGTCAAACTTGAATTTGCGCTTACAGGCCCTTTAAGAAAAAATTTTATTTCACCATTTTATTTTTTTTTCTAATTGGTTATATTCCCTGCAGGTGCTGACCAAGGAGGATATGACCGACGCTGACCGTGATGACCGTGACAGTTTCCTTGAATGCCTGCAGGACCATATTCATGATGTGCATGCCCATGTCAGGTCCCACGCTCTCCAGATCTGGGCTAAACTCTGCACTAACAAGTGTATTCCTCTCACAAGGCAGCATCAGATACTGGAGCTTGCAGTCGGTAGATTAATGGTACCACTTTTTTTACATTTTCAAACTTTGTTAGTTTAACGTCCAGTTTTTATCCAGGGTCATTTTCTTTTCTTTCGAAAATAATTGTCCCCCCCCCCTTTCAGATAACAAATTATCATAATTTAGTTTGTAAGAATATTAAAGTTTTTTGTGTTGCTAAATTGCAGGCGGGAATACATGATTTTAATTGGTCAAATTGTACTAATGTTTGTGTATAAAGTACTGTGGTAGGCGTTAATATCAATATAATGAAGACGACTTTTTCATTTAAGTTTTATTGTTAACAAGCTTTTTTCGAATTACAAGCTGACACGTAATTAAAGAGAAAGAAGCCTTTTAAATTAACAGCTTTTATTTGTTTCCATTTATTTGTGTATTTATGCTGTTTAAAAGCTTGATATAAATCAAAATTGAGACCGAAAGTCGTCTTCATTGTATTGGTAATATCGCCTACCACCGTATGAGAGGGAAAATTTGTTAAATGTCGCATTGTTGGCTCCCCAACATCTTTTTAAATCCCCCCCCCCTTTTGAAACGGGGTTTAACGGTCTTTGTATTCAATGTGTTTCAGACTGTTCCATTGATACCTATTTTATAAAGTTTAACAAAAGCATGTTTAATATCTTGTTTCAGGACAAATCTTCAAATGTGCGAAAGGCCGCGGTTCAGCTTCTCAACACATTACTTCAGGTACATATTCTCTCTCTTTGTTGCGGTACAATCACCTTCCCCTTTCTATTTTATTCAGACATATGTTTTGGTATAATATTCCACAATCCTCGCTTCTCCGATTTTTTAAAGACTAATACATTTGTTTTTAATCTTTGTGACAGAAACAATCTCAAGAACTGACGAGGGTCAACCCAGACCAAAATATATTTTCAATAAATGTGGAACTAACATCTACTTGTTTACTCTACAGAGGTTTGGTCCATCACCATCACCAACTTCTAAAAATACATTTAGGGTTTTTTAAAAATAAGGGTTCACTAAAAACATTAATAACACTGTCCCTTTAATCCGTGTTTACTGTTTATTCTTACAAACACAGTCGAATTGAACAAAAGATACAAAGATTTTTTTCCAAAAATAATTCATGTCTAATTCATAATAATGCAAATATTTATCAACTAATTAACTAATAAACTAATCAATCACATTAATCAATAAGTAAATTAATTAAAATTAATCAAATCGTGAATCAAATAATTGATAATGAAAGATATATAACAGAGCACTTGGAAGCGTAATTGACCAACTAGAAACTAATTTCCGTTGTTTGGCGGTTATTCTTGAAGAGGACTCGGCCTAGACTTCTACGGTATGAAGGTTGATGTTTATTTATTTTACAGAGCAATCCCTTTGCCGCTAAACTACAGACAGAAGATTTAGAGGAAAGATTAGCGGAGGAGAAAACTAAACTAGCAGCCCTAGAACCAGAGGTTGGTGAGGGGTATATATTTGGGACACCCCCATTACTGCCGGAGCTGTGGGGGGGGGGAGGAGAAAACTAAACTAGCAGCCCTAATCTCCCCCTTCCCCTCCCACCGCCTGAGCTGTAGTGGGTGGGGTTGGGGGATTAAAAAAGTACAGTTGATACATTTTGGCAGAAATGATAAAAAACTCCTGAAAAATATACACCCCTTTATATACTTATTCATTAAGCCAAAAGATTATTTATTCATTCATTTTTGTATTCATTCGTGTTTTCATTAAATCTCGAGATTGCCTGCTCATTTCTTTTATTTATCTTATTTAGAAAATTATGGTTATTATCATAATGACCAGTATGACAATGTTATTGTATCGTTCGTTTTTTCTTAAATGTTTTTATCACATCTTTAATATTGTTTATATTACACTTTCCAAGTTATTGTTTTAGACTGAGTTAGAGCCTGTGGAGCAGTGGAATATGCTCAAGGGAGAGGTATTTCTATCCTTTCGTGTCTGATTTTGTCTTTTCACGTTATTGACCTTTTCCTGTCCTGTCCTGTCATATCATGTCATTTCGTGTTTTGACCTGTTCTTTATCCTTTCTTGTCTGATTTTTTCCTTTCATCCCCTTGTCCTTTCCTGTCCTGTCCCGTCCCAACCTTTCCTGTCCTGTACTCTCAAATATTGTCATGTCTTGTCAAATAATGCACTGTTTGTGTTTTCGACCTTTCCTATATCCTTTTTTGTCTGATTTTGTCCGTACATATTTTTGTCCTGGTCATGACTTGTCCATTCCTGTCCTGTCCTTTACCGTCTTGTCCTGTTCTACCCTGTCTTGTGAAATTCTTATACTTTATTATCTGCAATATCCTGTCCTTTATGCTGTCCTATTCTTTCATGGGTCCTATACTGTCATCATGTCCTGTCATGTTGTCCTATGCAGCCCCTTCTTTTCATATTCTGTCCTTTCCTGTCCTATCATGTCATTTTTTTTCTCTGTTATAATAAAATTATACAAATCGTCGTTCTTATCGGTCTTAAACAAGATTTTACTCAGTACTGAAAATAAACGATGAAATCTTTTTTCACTGTGTATGTGTAACTTAAACTAGACTTTTTAGTGCAAAGAATTTGGAATTTTATTAAGTCAATTTTTTTGTTTCTTAATTATTTTTTAGCTATGTCTTTGTTTTTATTTTATTGGCATTGTCTTTTGTAAATTTGATTTTTTCTAGTTTTTTGTTTTAGTTTTTACCGTTATTGATGAAATAAAACTATATTTTGTTAAAGGTTGAAGAAGGAATGGGTAAACCTGTTAAGAAATCAGATTCAGCCTGCAAGGTACAGATACACACTCTTTAAATTATTAAACTAATATTTATGTCAGAATCTCATGGCCTCAAATTTTGTTTTTAAAACCAAAAATATGTGTGAGAAAGTTTTAGAATTTATATAAGACAAAAATGGGACTAACGCTGTAATTTTAAGGAGCCCACCATTTAAAATAAGTTAATATCTGATTCACAACCCTACCCTTTTAAGCTTTTTCTGATTAAGAGATTGGCGTGTGACTGTAGGCCGACCCTAACAGACTGATTTGATTTGATTTGATTTGATTTGATTCGAAATTAGATATCCATCGTCTCTTTTTTAACAAATTGATTTTTTTCAATTGCGGTTTTTTTTTGTAAAGCCACTCGCGCATTTCTGCTTCAGAGAAATTCGTAAGAATTGTAACAAATAAACAAGTTAAAAAAAAAGACGATATTTTCCACTTGATTAAATAAAGTTTTAAAAGGTAGTGTTGTGAATTAGACATGCCCCCTTTTTTTAATGAAGGTTACTTGAACTGGATGGACAGTCCTTTTAATGAATGAAATAGAAGAAAATTTACTTGTATTTTGTGTAGGTTTGGGAAAGTGCCTGTGTAGGAGAATTAAATCACAGGTGGGGCATCTTTTTTTTATGAATTACAAATCTATAGTTTTGTCAACTAAATGGTTGAAATAAACATTTTTTATAAGAAATACACAGTAAAACTTTAAACAATCTAATAACTTTTTTGTTAGATAATACAAAGATTTTGTAAAAAAATAACCAAGGTTATAATGCAAGGAAAATTTGTTCAGATATGTACGCATCTTTGCAGTGTACTGTCTCTGGGAGGTAAGGTAAACACAAGACGGATGTCGAAGCCTGGCATGGGATCCATCTTTCACATAAAAAAAGAATTATTTGAATTATTAAAATTTAATGCGTTTAACCTCCTCGGATACTAAACGAACACTGATGCATCTATTCTTGTTTACAAATTCCGTCCAGAGAGAACTGGTTTCAATATGTACGCAGAGTATACGCAACTGCAATTAACGTTCCTTGCATTATAACCTTGGAGAGAACAATATTTTATACCTCGGCTAAGAATTCTCACCTTTAAAAAACAGAATTAACAATTAAGTTTTTATTATTTTACAAGTTTAAAAACTTATTCTTGATTGAAAATTTGAGATAAGATATACACTAAAAAAAAACAAGTTTACAATTACTAATTGATAATTATTTTAACAGTATAGTATAAAGAATTTAGGTGGAAAATAGCTTTTGGCTGTTGTGATTATTTTTTCCACCTAATTTTAATAATAACAAAACTTTTTATTCACATAGATTTGAGGAGTAATATTAGGGATGCTACAAATATTATGATTAATAATTCAAGGGACTGTTAGGGTAAAATAAAAGGGGTGTAGGCTACAGCCTAAAAGTTTTAACGTGGCCAAAAAAAGTTCTATCCGATGTCCCTGTCTAGAGAAAATTATATAAAAAACTGTGTCCAAGTTATACAAAAACTTATATTTTTGTGATATGGTATTTTGAATTAAAGTTTAAGCAGATCATATCATCATATACAGTAAATACGGAACGAATCTGAAAATTAAGAGTTCTAGGCTTTAATCTATATATCCCTTTTTTATTTTACCGTAAAATTCCCTTTAATGAAGACCATCTCCAGGATTGCCGGGTTCCTGGATAAGAAAGAGGGACACCGAGCACTTAATCTACTCAAGGAGAGCAGAGAGATGTTCCCTCAGGAGGAATTGTATAAACTTAGGTTAGATTATTCTGAAATTGTTTTCGAATAGTGATGATGAGAGTATGGATGAGGATGAAAACTCTGACAAGGAGGAGGATGATGAGGATGAACGGAACAAGGAGATGATGAAGGAACTTCTTGTCTTGAAGAAGGTTTATCTTGAGGCCAAGAAACCTATTGAACCTTCACTGTCTCAGAGTCAGAACAATAACCAGGTATGATTTCAAATCCGGAATGAAACTCAATTTTTTTGCGTACCTCTCATCCCCCCCCCTCTCACACTCAAATAAAACGGGAAAAAATGAGCTTTTCTCAACGTCAAAAAATTGAGGATTTACAAATTACTATTTACTAATTTTCGTGCTCTGGAAGTTATGAAGGCAAAATTTGTCTAGGAAACCCGTGATCAAGTAAAAAAAAATATTTTTCGAATAAGTAGTTGTACACAATTTTATCGTCTTTTGGGATGAAAATGCATGAATTTTTTCTCGAAAACTTCGCAAAATGGATTGTTTTTTTTACTTAATTGTCCCAAGGGACGTTAATTAACCTAACTTCTCTCTGTGAATCAGAGGTCGGTACTATCGGTCAAAAGTATTTAAACAATGTTTGATTAAAAATTGTGTGAAAAGTGAAATATAATGTTTTTCTTAAATGTTAGGAGGAGGTTTCTAAGCAGAAGATGCTGGTTCAGTATCTCACTGACTCTGTCAAGTTCAGCAAGATTATTCAGAAAAGGTTAGAATTATTTTTATCCTTTCTTATTTTAACTAGCAAGCTGTGACAAGCCTCCATTGTCAAACATTTCAATTTCAATCCACAGAACAGCTATAGCAGGTAATGTGTAGTCAATAATAGGCTGTTGTAAGGTACGCATTGTGACGCAATTCCTCCTGGTTGTACCTCTCCTAGGAATAGGAGGCCGGGCTGGTTTAGGATCGATCTTACCTGTAAGTGTAGGGTCGGATACAGTTGTAGGCAGTCTGAGTTGCCCCAGATGGGACTCCTTGCAGATCTAATTTTCGTAAATTCCTCGTATTTTAGGAACTCCTTAAAAAAATTCTCAGATTTCTTGATTAAAGGCTCAAAAAGTTCCCGACTGGGGCTTATGACTGTGATCTTTATTTAACAGCCTTACCCTGGACCGGACTCGGAACCGGATCAAGAAAACTGAAACAGCTGAAAAATTGTGCCATCAATATCAAATTGGGAAATTTTTAATTTTGACTATTAACTTATTTAGTTTGCCGACAGTGGCGGTGCTGCTTGGTTCAAAACAGACTTCAGATATTCAGGAGGCGATTGAGTTCTTCGTCAGTGCTTTCGAGTTCGGTAAAATCTTATTAATTCTTGCACACCTGGTTTAAAGGGACTCTGATCCGTTATTTACGGAGACCTTCCAGTTTCAGAGTTAGAATTCTTTTTCAAAATGGTTCCTTTTAAACCTTTATCTGTATAACAATGATGAAGATATCAACGGTGTTCTTTCTTTGAATATTTATATTTAATTCTGACAGGTATGATGAATGCTATGCTGGGAGTAAAGAAAATGCTAACTCTAATCTGGTCTAGAGAATCAAGCATTAAGGTAGAGTCATCTCTAGTTTGATTGATTGAATAGTAGATTTATTGATTTTTTGATTCATTTGATTCATTGAATTTTTGGTTTGTTGATTTGATTTGATTCGTTAATCGTTGTTTTGTTCATTCTTCATTCGTTTATTTTTAAATTCAATTGAACCCTATTAGTTGATTTTTATTTTATGAGAAATTCTTTGAGTGCTGCATTGATTGATTTTGTAAATTTTCCATTGATTTTACTTGTTAAAATTAAGAATTAAGTGCTTGATAGGGTTCATTTATGACTTGATTGATCATGATTATGTTCCCATAGGATGCTGTAGTAGCTGCATATAAGCGTCTGTATATTAATGTTGATGCTACCAATGCCAGAGCAGCCTCTGTAACTATTGCAAGGTACTATTCTTTAATCTTCCTCACCCTAGGTCAGATACAAATATTTTGAGATGCAAATAAGAACTTCAGTTCACCCATTTTATTAATTTTTATCTCTAAACTAGAGAATTACTTCTCTATTCATTAATTTCTACCTCTACACTAGAGAACTAGTTCAACTTCTTCTCCATATTCATTATTTTCTACCTCTAAACTGAAGAAGTAGTTCAACTACTTATCATTTTCATTAATTTCTACTCTACCCTAGAGAAGGAGTTGAACTACTTCTTTTTCATTAATTTCTACCTCTACACTAGAGATCTAGTTCAACTTTATCTCCATATTCATTAATTTTTACCTCTACACAAGAGAAGGCGTTTAACTTATGCTCCCTATTTATTAATTTCTACCTTTACTTTAGAAAACTAGTTCAACTTCTTCTCTCAATTTATTAATTTCTACCTTTACTTTAGAGAACTAGTTCAACTTCTCTCTATTTATTAATTTCTACCTTTAAACTAGAGAATTAGTTCAACTAACTACTTCTCACTTTTCATTAATGTTAACTTCCAAATTAGAATACTTTCAATTTTTGCTTGCTAGTTCAATTTCTTACCTGTATTCATAAATTCCGACCTCAGAAACCTGGTTGCCCTGGTCCGCCTGGCGACCCTGGGTGAGCTAGAGAGCTTGGAGAAGCTGATTGCCGAGCTGGTCGAGTCCAAGGATATAGGGAAAGGAGTGTTCACGGTTCTCTGGGAGTTCTTCACCGGCGTCCTACCTGGCTCTACGATAGAGGACGCACATCCAGCAATTATGCTGATTAGAATGTGCGCCTGTAGTGAGGTCAATATTATCTCATCTAATCTTCAGGTAAACATTAATTATTTAGTTTCAAAAATCATTTTCACAGATTGGGGGGGAAATAAAAATTTGTCGCTGTTTTCATTACCATTTTTCAAAAAGCATAAAGATAAAAACGTAACGGCGTGGGTATTATTTTCTCGATAAAATCATCCGCCCTCTTCAAATATATTTAACTATGTTAGAAAGGTTTATACTAAATTGGGGAAAATAAGGGATATTTGGGATCTTTAGATTGATTGATTAATTGATTGATTGATTGATTGATTGATTGATCAATCATTTTCTAATTAAGTTGATTATCGAACATGGGCTTGGAGAGAAGGGAGAGAATAATTTCCAGCTAGCTCATCATAGGTAATTTAAACCTCTATTTGTCCATCTATCTAACTAACTATCTAACTAACTATCATACTTTCGATCTATCTAACTATTTATCTATTTATTAAAAAATTTATCTATCCATCTATCTATCTAGGATGATCCTGATCCTCCGTTCAAGTTTAAGAGTGATCATTTGATCTTCTCCAGGTAGAATTCAAATTAAAATCTTCTCAGAACCAATTACAGGGATATATATTTTCTAATGTAAAATCCCCTCAACCTCAAAAATAGTCGGGTTCAATTTTTTACGTTTCTAATTTCTGTCGTTTTTTCATTATTATTTGAGAATTTTGTTTTGGAAGATATCAGGTTTCATTTTTATTCCGTTTCCCTGGCCCTGTCTTTCTAACCCCCCCCATTGAATNGGGGGGGGGTTGTTTTTTATAAAATATGAACCCCCTTTTTAAAGGATGGAGAAACTGTTAGTGGACGGGCTCTACAACAAGCTGGATCCCCACTATATGCCCATGGCCAAGTCTATTATCAAGGTAATAATATTCTTAACCTATCCTATCATCCATAATTCACAACACACAAATGATCCAACGGTTGCAAACTTGCAAGCTCTCGCAAAAATCGATGAGAATGTTGCTAATTACTTCTATGATACTGAATTTGAAAAGTTAACATGCCTACGGCTTCACAAATGGAAGTGAGTTTGTGAGGTCAAATCTAAGGACAAGGCTTTGCGATACTTTAAAATTGGTGCAACTTTTATATTTGTCTGGATCTGTGTGAACAGTAATAGCAACATTTTGATCTTTTAAAAATAATTTAATTTAAAATTTAAAACAGAAAACAGCAAAATTTTACATTTTATCCCATAAATGAAAGAAATGTTAATAAAGAAATTAAACGCCAGAAAGAGTGTTGGGAAACCCCACGGACGACTGATATTTTATAAATATGAAATGTTATTAAATATTTTAATGTTTATTTAGTTGGTTTATCAGCTGGGGGAGGGGCCGGATACATTTATGGGCAATGTTGTCAAACAGGTAAATAGTTAAATCATTACTTTAGGGGTTTATATTTTCTTGTATACACATTTTTTCAAAAATGTTATGTTCTTTTGTGTGGAGCTAAAAAAATTTATTTGGAAGGTTTAAATCTCGGAATAGATGAACTTTTGGGTAAAAAGTATCAAAAAGGGCGAACAAAAACTTTTTTGTTTTGTCTATCAATTCATCAATGTATTTATCTATCTATCTATCGATTCATTCTGTGAATCCATTCTTATAACATTCCATATATCTTCATCTATTCCTATAATCTATCATATACCCTACGGTGACATGGAAACGCCTCAACACGGAAACGTCTCCACACGGAAATGCCTCAAAAAAACAGAATCATAAAACTAATTTAATGTCGTCTTCTCTCAACTTAAAATTAAAAAGACTATATTCTAACGATTTTCACAGCCATGGCCGCAGCGCTCTGCCTCATAGCCTGTTCTAGCCGCAGCGCACGGCCCCCTACAATAGCAAACACAACAGTCAAGCGGGAGGGAGATTCTCGTTGTCAGCACTTAATTATATGTGTAATACATTTGTTTGGCAACCAGCTGACAAAAGAAATCGGACCGGTGACATGGCTCAAATTTGGTCGTGTGTCCGACGTTGTCAGGCTGAAAAGCCTTGATCTAGAAGGGATTGTGATGGCATACCCCTCATAGGTCAAGGAGCTATTGGACACCTCCCTTGTTTCTTATATAATATGATATGATATCCATCAATCTATCAACCTGTCTAATATCTCTCTATCTATCCATCAATCTATCTTTCTATCAATTTATCTGTCTATATTATCTGTCAAAATTTAAAGTGGTCAGCGATTATATCACGACAATGAAGACGACTTTTTATTGATAGTGCATTGATTCCCAATAAACAATTTAAAATTAAAAGTTTACATTTAAACAAAAAGAAGCTGTCAATCAACAAATTATCTATTTGAAATATTTAAGTTATTGAAAGCTTGGTGAAATCAAAATTGAAATCAAAAGTCCTAATTGTACTGATATAAACGACGACGACTGTATCTTGTATATATATAAAGTTGTAATATCTGTTTTGTCTGGATGTATGTCTAGTCCTCTTGGCCGATTTGCCTCAAATTTAGATTGTGGAACTCGGGAGAAACACAGGAATGTTTAAGTTTGATTTCGAGATTCAAAGTTCAGTGAATATACTGATATAGGGAAAAATAGCTAAAATCGTAATATATTTCCAAATTGCGGGTAAACGGTCGTTTCTCAAGATACTATAAATATCTTTCTAGATCTGTGGTAGAGTACAGAAGGATAAACCTGAGCTAGGAGAACAAGTTGTTCCAGTTTATGTTCTCAGTCGTCTTTGTTTCCTTGTTGGAGAAATATCATTGAACCATCTCAACTATCTAGGCAACCAATCGATCAATCATCCAATCAATCAATCATTTTTCAATCAAGCAATATGAATATTGAATAATATACCTTTTATCCAGTAAATCTCAACAATAATCTACTCCTCAACCAGAAATATAAAAATTCATTCAAATTTATAATCAACCCACTTTTTTAAATAAACAATTAACCAACCAAAACATCTAGAAATAAAATGTTATTAATTTATTAATCAATCAATCAGATTTGTTATCATCAAATCAAACAATTTTTAATGCAAAATAATTTAGATTTTCTAAAGTGAAAAAAATCTATTTTTACCTTCAAAAAGTTTTTCTATTTATTAATTTGATTTGATTAATTAATTAATGAACTGTTTAGTTTTGATATTCTAATAATTCTAATTTCTACTCTTTACAGATGTACACATTTTCAACGACCTCTAAGATTGATTATTGTTCTGTTTACAGATGTGAATGTATTCAATGAACTCAAGCGTAGAAATTATCTCAGAGAAGAAAAGGTTTGTTTTACTCAATTAGAATATATAGCACGTTTTTAGGTAAATTTTCAGAAAGAACTTCTATAACCTTTTTATCATGGAATAATGGTATTTCCTTAATTCATTTCCTTATTTTTTGTGAAAAATTACTAATTTTCATTATATTTGACCTAGACTTTTTTGGAATTAAGGTGATGTTATATATATTAATATAACAAAAATTTGACAAATTAATACAATAAATCATTATTCTATATAATAAAGCTCTTCGCTCATATATATATATATTTATTTATTTACTAATTTGACAAAACTTTAACAAATTAATACAATAAGTTATTAATCTACATAATAAATCTCTTCGCTCAGCTATATATATATATATTTATGTGTGTGTGTGTGTGTGTGTGTTAACCAAATTGGTCGAATTTTTGTTGAGGGAACCCTTGAGTACCACGGGGGTTACATGGGCTATTAAGTGTTTTGAAAATTCCAAGGGCAACGTAGGGCACTTCAGCTAGTAATATCATAAAACTTGAATCTAAAATAAAATTATAATTATTGTGCTATGCTATCTAAATATAAATTTATATAAAGATGGAGAAGGATAAGAAAGCTAAGAAAGCTGCGGAGAAGAAGAACAAGAGATTGTCTGTTGTTCGTTCAACTGCGCTCAGCACCCCTGCAGGTTTAGTCTTGTACATAAACGACAATTTAAAAAAAAAATTATTCCCCCCCCCCATCTACGAAAATAGATTTAGTTTTTTTCCTCAAATGTTATTTTTTTTATTTATTCGCTGAATTTGGAAAGTTAAAAGTTATCAAAAAGGATGAAGAAAAAAACTTGCCTTTTGATTTCTAAAAGGGTTTTTAAAGGATTAAAAAATGTCCAATCTTTCATTTTTTCTACCATTAAATTCATTCTTGAAAATATATATTTTTTACTAATAAAACCAAACAATGTCCAAAAATATATTTGACAAAAATATAACCATCCAAAATATTTTCATTCCAAAATAAAACCCTTTAGTGTTCTATAGCTCTAAAAGCTTGGATCAACGTCACAATATACATTTATGCTGAGCCTGAGCTTATTAAATAACTCTGCCTTATTTATGAAAAAAGCTCCTTAAACCCCTAAATCAAAGATGCATGAATGATGATATAAATATTGTTCCTTCTTCTAGGAGCGAGTGTTGACGATGATGAGAGTTTAGTTGGAGCAGAGGCTGATGATGCAGAGGCGGATTTCATTCGAAAGGTTTGTCGAATTTTGAGCTTTGTATTTTTTTTAAAAGAAAATCATCAACTTTGTAGACAATAATAATATGACAATAACAACAAAACATTAATATTATGATATTGATGATAATGATGTTAATGATGTATTACTGTCCGAAAAAGACTTTTTGAAGTAGAATCAGTAAAAATTACATCAAAAAATATTTTTCGGGCCGCATTTTGACAGTCAGGTAGTTGACTTAGGGGTTTGATTTTTTGCTACTACAGGTTTCATGACTGTTAAAGAAAATTTTAAAAAATTTTGAGACCATGTCATATACTGTTAAAAAAATATCGTCAAAAAACCCAGAATAAGCAGATATCTAATTACATTAGTAATGGTTTTAAATAATTTAATAAGCAGATAAAAGCCTTGAAACAAATTTTTTGTTTAATTTAAGACCTGTGAATGCACTTGATTTCTACAATTTCTTAAATTTGATTTGCTCAAAATTCCCTAGGTGGCATTTTCTGAAAATTGAGAATATAACTCAGTAGCCTGCATAACCCAAAGAAAAAGTTTAGGTTTTTTGACTTGAAACCTGATGGTCCATTTTCAGCAGTGTGCAATGTAAACATTCAAATTAACCGTGATAATAACGAAATACTTCATTTATCCGTGTTTAAAAAAAATTCTTTTAACAAAATATCATTTGTTTCTACCATCAACCCCAATAAGATGTAAAAAAATATTCTAAATATCCTTGAGGCTTTACTACTAACAGATGACCAAACCTTTTCTTCAAGCAAGTTATTGTATGAGTTATCATTTACTGAACCTTGAAACCAGTGGATAAGTAGAAACCTGCCATAACAAATCCAGCCCAAGTCATTACCTTTGATGCCCCTTGAACTCTTATTACTTCTTCAAGATTGGAATTCTGAATTTTCTTTGTACACAACAAAATTTTCATACTTTGATTACTCAAATTTTTCATCACATTGGAAAAGTTCCAAACAATAACAAAGCTACAGTAAGTGGTAAAATTGGCCTGATTAAAAGGACACCCTGTAATAAGGAAAAAGTTGAGAAATAATTTTGTAATTTATCATTAAACACTCTTTAGTAATTAGATAAGAAATTTTAAATTCCTTTTTATAAACTTTTCTCATATTTGACTGTTTATTAACGTTTTAAAACTAGTTATTAAATATTTATGAAATTTTTTATAATTTACTTTCCGTATACGAATTGATTACTCTGGAGTATTCATTCCAAATTTACCTCTGGAGGAAAGAAATAAGAAATAAGCGCAGGGAAGAGAATTTAAAAAAAGAAAACTGGGAAAGATCGCCAAAAAATTATTTTAAGAGAAATCTGTTAAGAATATAAAAAGGGTTATCAGATTGAAATCGTTTATTTCTTGAATTTTTGTTTTATTTTTGTGATATCCAGGTGTAGTGCTAGCATGGCTCTGTGTAAGTATATGCTGCTGAGTTCTGAGTTTGCGGATCAGCATTTACGTCTTATATTCACTATGCTGGAGAAGGATCCAGAACCCATCATAAGGTAAATCGGGAGGGGAGGGGTGTGGTTTCCAGCAAAAAGCTGATTCGTCCATTAAGTTTTATCTTTGTGTTCCCACTTAACGAACATTTAGTTTCTTATCGGAATGTTTAAAAATTCAGTATTGTATATTAATATTTTTGTTATAGAGCCAACCTGATCATAGCCCTGGGAGATCTATCCAACAAGTTTCCAAATAATCTTGAACCCTGGACACCGAAGATGTATGCTCGACTACATGATGATTCTATCCAGGTATACCTTAACATACAGGAATAATCATGAACCCTGGACACCGAAGATGTATGCTCGACTACATGATGATTCTATCCAGGTATACCTTAACATACAGGAATACTCTTGAACCCTGGACACCGAATATGTATGCTCGACTACATGATGATTCTATCCAGGTATATTTAAACATACAGGAATACTCTTGAACCCTGGACACCGAAGATGTATGCTCGACTTCATGATGATTCTATCCAGGTATATTTAAAGTTTAAACATACAGGAATAATTTTGAACCCTGAACACCGAATATGTATGCTCGTCTTCATGATGAATCTATCCAGGTATACCTTAACATACAGAAATACTAAAAACACCCCATAAACCCATTGTCTTCTGGAGAAAGCTGGCTTCATCAGCAATATCTTCTTTTACGTTATCAAGTCAGAAAGTCAGTAAAGGTAAAAACTTGAGGGTCAGAAAGTTTAAATGTCACAAGGTCACCAGGTCAATTTGGCTGATATTAAATCGGTCAAATGGTTCATTGACTGCACGCAGCTTTGCCAACAGCATATCCTGGCCGTAAACCTGCGTATACAAATGGAATAAGTCTGAGGGGTGGGATTCTGTAGTCTCTAGGGGCAGGAGGTGCATACGCGACATAATAGAGTAGATGGTCAAGAGATCATATGGTCAGAATGTTGAATAGTTGGAAGGTCAGATGATTTAAATGTCCATTGGTCATGCAAAATGTCCTAAGGTTAGAATGTTCCAAGGTCAGATAGTCAAATGGTTAGAATGTCAAAGGTAAGATATTTCTTCAGAATGTCAAAAGTTCAGAAAGTCATAAACCGTAATGTCAGATGGTCAAATGGTCAGATATTCAAAATGTCCGATAGTCAAAGGGGTCAGAAAGGTTGGAATGTCGAAAGGTCAGGATTTCTTTTTCTGAATGTCAAAATTTTGATTCATTGATCGTATATTTCCAGGTTCGGAAGAATACCCTGACCGTGTTGACCAGGTTGATCTTGAACGACATGATCAAGGTGAAGGGACAGATCAGCGACATGGCCTTCTGTATTGTCGACGATATCGACAAGATATCCGCCCTCGCCAAGATTTTCTTTGCCGAGCTGGCTAAGAAAGGTAAGAATTAAATGTCTGCAGTTTTTGTTTCTTTTTTGAGCTTTTGGACGAAATGTTGTAGTTTTGTGTTGCGAATCCCGGGATCAAGGATTGATCATCATAATATGCAGATCTACGGATTAATCTAATTCTTCTTCGATATCTCGTAGTGCCAGTACTTTCAAGGGATAATCGAGGGATTAAGCATTGATCTTCATATTATGCAGATCTACGAATTAATCTAATTCTTCTTCGATATCTCGTAGTCCCAGTACTTTCAAGGGATAATTGAGGGATTAAGCATTGATCTTCATAATATGCAGATCTACGGATTAATCTAATTCTTCTTTGATATCTCGTAGTGCCAGTACTTTCAAGTGATAATTGAGGGATTAAATATTGATCTTCATATTATGCAGATCTACGAATTAATCTAATTCTTCTTTGATATCTCGTAGTGCCAGTACTTTCAAGGGATAATTGAGGGATTAAATATTGATCTTCATATTATGCAGATCTACGGATTAATCTAATTCTTCTTTGATATCTCGTAGTGCCAGTACTTTCAAGGGATAATTGAGGGATTAAGCATTTATCCTCAAATGTATAAGTGCCCACAATGGATATCGAGATCTAGTGTTCAAGTTCGACGATACTAAAGCTCCAACCTAAAGTTACTTAAAATTTGATTTCCCAAACTTTCATAGTCTTCATCTAACTATCTATCTATCTATCCATCCATTTATATATCCATCTACCTAGCTGTTCATTTATCTATCTATCCATCTATTTATCTATCCATCTAGTCACTTATCTAGTCTATCTATCTTCTTATGTATGTATCTATCTATATATCTTAGGAGACACTCTTTACAACGCGATGCCTGATATAGTATCCAGTCTATACATCTCACTATCTATATATCTATTTATTTATCTATCTATCTACTATCTATCTATCTAATATTTATCTCTGTATCTATCTATCTACTATCTATCTCTGTATCTATCTATCTACTAACTATCTCTATATCTTTTTATCCATCTATCTATCTGTTCATCTATGCGTGTTAAAGTATCCCGTCTATCTATCTATCTATCTATCTTAGGAAACACCCTGTACAACGTGATGCCTGATATAGTATCCCGTCTATCTGACCCCGAGGTTGGTATTGCGGAGGAGAACTTTAGAACTATCATGAGATACATCATTGGGCTTATTGAGAAGGATAAACTTCTTGAGTCATTGGTCGAGAAACTCTGCCACAGGTCAGTCCAGAAACTGCTAGCTAAAAAAATCGTAACAAATTTTCCAAAAAACCAGTCAAAATGTAAGTTTAGAAAAGGGGATATTTTTAGTTTAGTTCGGAGATAAGCGCTGAACGGGTTGTCTTCCTGCAGCCTTAAAAAGATGCTTAAAAATGTCCGTTTTTCATAGAACCTATATCTCTTTCACACTCCATAAAGCTTTTATTACTTTTTTTTACCATTACAAATAAATCTAATTTTATTTTTAAAAGTTGTTAGTTCATCGTTGAAAAATACTAAAAATCCACCACCAATTTATATTAAATATAACTTTCCTTATCCTTTCCTTTCTTTTTCCTTTTATTTCTATTTTTATATTTTTTTAGAATTGGGGGGAAATATTCCCACAACCTCTACTTTTAGAGGTTTTTAAATATTTTCTCCTGAAACACTTATGTTTTTGTTATATTTCATAAATAAATAATTTTTTACTTTTTACTGTACTTAACAACAAAGAAATTAATGATAATAATTTTTAAAAAAATATTAATAACACTGAAAATGACAATTACAAAGATAATAATGATAATAATTAATTCAGTTATGATAATAATGATAATAATGATAATCTATCCCTAGGTTTCGTGCTACACGAACGCGACGACAGTGGAGGGATATTGCCTTCTGTCTTTCTCTCTTCAACTACAGCGAGAGAGCATTCAAGTAATATTTTTAACTTGCTTAAGTGCCAAGCATTGCCCCTAAAATAGATTTTTAAAAATCGAATATTTAAAAAAGTTTTTTTTTTAAAGAAAATAATGAACCTCTTTGCTCATTTATATTTACATATGTTAGATATAGCTGGCCAAACGACTGAACCAAATTGGCTGAATTTTTTTATGCCATGGGTGCACGGGGGCTACAAAAAATTCATGCGTTTTTTAATTCACGGACAACGCCGGGCACTTCAGTAAGAAACATATAGGTTACTAGGCTTTTTTGGTGCTTCGCGCCCATCTTCTATTTCAGCTTTTAATTGTGGCTTTATCTCTGAGCATCTTCTCTTTGAGCAGTAAAAAAAGGTTTACGGATTTCATAATATTTTTTTTGCTAATATTTAAAATTTTACAAAAATAAACAATTTTTAACACAAGATCACATTTAATAGACTACATTCAAGGCTTATAACCACATTTAATAGACTACATTCCAAGCATAAGACCACATTTAATATACTACATTCTAGGCATAAGGACCACATTTAATAGACTACATTCCAGGCATAAGACCACATTTAATAGACTAGATTCGAGGCATATGACCACATTTAATAGACTACATTCAAGTTATCAATTTGACTTTTTATCAAGTTTGTTGAAGTTTCAAACCCGGTAATTGAACTACCTCAATGCTTCAAGTGATTGTTTATTATTACACTACTAAAAAGTATACTCTAGTTGTTAATATAGTTATTAGTTTATTAGTTATTAATTTAGTTATTAATTTCAAGTAACCCTTCATGCAAAGATGGCAATGCCCGATTTATAACGGTACCCTTGTAACCTTCTACAAAATCAAAAATGTGGTTAACACGTTGTTTTTCGTACTAGAAAATGCGCAAGTCACTTTTAAAAAGAACCCACAAATTGAAATAAGCAGTTTTCACAAACAAAAAAATGGATTTCTAATTTTTGCTTGAGCAGACAAAGCTTTTAAGGGTATTGTTGTAAATCGGGCAGTGCCTTGAAGGGTCACTTGAAATTATGCTTACCGGCCCTTTCAGTGACGGGCAGTAGCTGTGGGTTTTGTTTCTAATGTTTTCTAATGTANGGCAGTAGCTGTGGGTTTTGTTTCTAATGATTTCTAATGTAAATTATTAAGGTCTGCGTAAAGGTGCTGGCCAAGGACCTGTTGGTACCAGCAGGGTGGAGGTTAAACAACTACTAGACGAACTTGAAGCTAAGGTTGGTATTACTCTAGTTTTCATGATTGTATAATCTATAAGATTTCCTTTAGTTTTCTTTCATTATTTTAAGATTTTAAAAGTTGACATTGTTTTCCATATTTTTGTGGTTACCTTAATTTATTTAAAAAATTTATGCGCGCGTGTTTATTTTACATTTTTTTAGGTGGAAGAAGCGCGCGCCAAAGGTGTTGAGGATGATACTGCAGATAAGCGCGCAGCTGAGGCTCGAGCCGAGCGCTGCAAGAAGAAAGGGAAGAAGGGTCGGAAAGCTGATAGTTCGGATGATGAGGTGGAGATAGAAGTACAGGAGACGGGAGAAAGAAGGAAATCTTCAAGGTATCAGTTAAGAAAACATGCCTATTGCCTAATCCGCAATTTTATATATTGAAACCACTGTCGGAATATTGTTCGAGATACCCTTTTTTCTTCTGAAAATTTATAACTTTCATGTTTTCCTATTAAATTGCAGTTTTTAGGTTTTAATTGCTCATTTTTAATGAAATAGTTTTTGTGGATTGAGTTTATATTTCTTTAATCTTGTAAGTTGGTAAGAAGTTTTAAACCTTTGGATAACATGAAGCTTTAAGCATTATATTATTTTAGAAGATCCGCAGCCAAGCCTAAAAAGGTTGCTGAGGAAAGTGAGGAAGAAGAAGACGAAGAAGACGAAGAAGATGAGGAGGAAGAGGAAGAAGATGAAGATGGTGAGGACCAAGAAGAAGATAATTCTCGTGGAAAGAAGAAGGAAGATAAAAAGAAGAAGAAAGAATCTGATGACGAACAACCTGAAAACCGACGAAGAAAGGATAAAGACCAAGAAGAGACCCCGGTCAAAGGAAGAAAAGAGAAGAAGGCGGAAGAACTTAAGAAGAAGAAAAGCAGAGTTATAGACTCTGAGGAAGATGAAGAAGAAGAAGAACCAAAAAGAAAGGAAGAAACTCCGGCTAAAGGAAAGAAAGAACAGAAAGAAAATGAGAAGAGAAAGAACAGCAGAGTTGTAGAATCAGCAGATGATAAAGAAGAAAGCAGAAAAGTAAGAGGAAGGAATATTGAACCAACACCAGCAAAGGGAAAGAAGAAAGAGGACGAAAAGAAGAAGAAGAGTAAAGAAGTAGCATCCGAAGAAGAAGATGAAGAACCAAAGAAAGGACGTAGAGGAAGAGAAACAGAATCAAGTGCGGAAGATAGCTCCCAAGAGAGAGAGAAGAGAAATACTTTCCTATATTATTGTGTCTAATGTCATTTACAATCATTCTATCTTTCAATTTCAGTTCACATATACATACAGAGAAAATCTGAACTGGAAACACATTCCTGATTGAAACTGCGTTCCCAACTTAGAACGTGTTTTTGAAAATAAGAACGCGTTAACGATTTTTACCATTCTTTTCAAGCAATTCCTGTTCCATTCCATTCCGTTCCAAAAATTTTAAGAACGCGATCTAAGCGTTAGTTTTTTTTTGGAACGATGGGATCGTTCTTGATCGTTTCGTTCGTTCTCGGAAAAGAACGATCTTTCCACCAGGAACGCGCCCAGCCCTACCTGTCAGTCTTCCATTCTTTAGAGAAACTTGATTCTCTACAAATACTTTTAATCTCTACCATTACCTGTCTAGACCTACCTTATATTTTACCTGTAGAAAAATGCCTAACTCCACTTACTTTATGCTGCTTCAATCTATCACAAACTCTATCCTCTCCACCTATACTGGTATATAAGATCCGTAAATAACAAGAGTCTGTCCTGAACTGTCTATTTAGCTATAAAAAGGTGCAGGTAAATAAGTTGACCGCAACTAGGGTTAAGAAACTAGATAACGTATATTTACGGGTTACAAAGATATAAATGAAATATTGTTTTATATTACATATTCAACTACCCTTTGATTCAACTTCAGTTAACAATATACCTATCTTCCAACCCTTGTATACATCAGAGACGACTGTACGGATTTTAAGCTGTCTGTTTTCTTATATTCATTATTCCCTGCAACTGTAAACTTGTTTCTTTCTCTGCCAAATCTTTAAATAAACCAATAAATTTCTTACTTTATCTATACCTTGGGATCATCATATTTGAAGAGTTTACGGTCGTCTTTACAGTCTTATTCTTTATAGGTATCCCTGTATGTACCTATCTACCTTAATTTACCATGTACCTACCTTCCTTCTTTGTAAATTACCATGTACCTACCTTCCTTCCTTGTAATTTTCTATGTACCTACCTTCCTTCCTTGTAATTTACCATGTACCTACCTATCCACCTTTATAATTTACAATGTACTTACCTTCCTTTCTTGTAATTTATCATGTACCTACCTATCCACCTTTATAATTTACCATGTACCTACCTTCCTTCCTTGTAAATTACCATGTACATACCTTCCTTCCTTGTAATTTACCACCTACCTACCTTCCTTCCTTGTAATTTACCATGTACCTACCTATCCACCTTTATAATTTACAATGTACTTACCTTCCTTTCTTGTAATTTACCATGTACCTACCTATCCACCTTTATAATTTACCATGTACCTACCTTCCTTCCTTGTAATTTACCACCTACATACCTACCTTCCTTTTAATTTACCATGTACCTACCTTTCCACCTTTATAACTACCTAGGATGTTAATTAACATATTAACTATCTAGGATGTATAATTAACATATTAACTACCTAGGATGTATGTATAATTAACATATTAACTACCTAGGATGTATAATTAACAAATTAACTACCTAGGATGTATAATTAACATGTTAACTACCTAGGATGTATAATTAACATATTAACTACCTAGGAAGTATAGTTAACATATTAGCTACCTAGGATGTTTAATTAACATATTAACTACCTAGGATATATAATTAACATATTAGCTACCTAGGATGTATAATTAACATATTAACTACCTAGGAAGTATAATTAACATATTAACTACCTAGGATGTATAATTA